ATGAGGGGCAAAACAAACAGCCCCCCACGTAAGTAAGCTTTCCCTAAATACTCCCCCCTACGAGTCATGATCATACTCTCAGACTCAAACACAAGTTTGATCCCTGCCCTTACCAACAAATGCCCCGAGACCAAATTCCTTCGTAGGGTGGGGACATACAACACATTAGACAAAAATAGATACTTTGTGGAATTGAGTTTTATCTCTACGGTTCCTACACCTCTTACCTCAGCAGTACTATCGTTTCCCATATAGACTTGCTCTCCTTGTCCTTGAGTGAAGGCTTGGAACTCTTTAAATATTATCCTACTCACGCAGAAATGGCGAGTTTCTCCAGTGTCAATGATCCATTCTTCGGTACCAGTCACTACGTTTGCTTCCAGCGTCACAACCGCTGCTACAACTCCAGTCTCTTCCACAACGTTTGCTTGCTGCTTGTTTTCTTGTTGAATGGACCTCTGGTTGGTTTCCCCCTTCCGGTGATAGCATTGAGCTGCACGATGCCCAAGTTTGCCACAGACGTAACAGGCTCCTGCTTTACCTTGTTTCTGGTTCTTGTTGTTCTTGAACTTGTTGCCATTCTTCACTTTGAATCCCCTTTTCCAGCCTTTGTTTTGTCCACCATTCCCAGTTTTGGACCTATCACTTTTAACAATACTGGATTCAACTATGTTAGCTTTTAAATTATCAGAATTTGGAACAGACCTTTGGCGATAGGCGTCTTCTATGTTGATATGGTTGACCATCTCTTCCCATGTGTAATCCTTGGACTCATGTTTCACTTTGTTTTGAAACTCACCCCAGGATTCTGGCATCTTCTCAAGTAAGTCATAGGTTTGAAGCATTACACTTACCGGAATTAGTTCGGCTTCAAGGTCGGACACCAGGTTCTCATATTCGTGCACTTGTTCGATAATTGGTTTCGTATCCACCATCCTGTAGTTGAGCCAGCGCCCAACGGTATACTTCCTCCGACCAACATCATCAGCTCCATACTTCTTTTTTAGCATATCCCAAATCTCCTTTGCAATTTGAATTTAGCATATATGTCCAATAGGTTGTCAGACATATGGTGCAGCAAAATACCACGAACGGTTTTGTTGTTTCGTTCAAACTTAGCCAGGAGATCTTGGGACTTGTGAGACGTGACAAGTGGTGGAGTGATTGGATCAGGGGTCTTAGGGGAAGCACATTCTGTTTCAGGATGAGAGGACTCAACAGTCTTAGTTTCAGCAGACTCAGGGATAGGGACATACGTGAGGACGTATTCGAGCTCGGCATATTCGAAGTAGATTAGCATCTTGACGGCTCATCGACGGTAGTTGAAACCGTCTAGAGGTTGAAGCTTGGCAAGATCGGTTACAGGCTTAGAGACGTAGGTCAACATGATAAGTGAAGCACAGAGAATTTTGCTTTTAATTATTGGGAAACGAGGTAAAACAATGTCGTAGTTTTTAAGCTACTATTTATGTAGGCTGAGAAAATAGAAACCCTGAATCGGTGACGTGCGCAAGACACTACCTTAAAAGCAAAATTGTCCGGACACCGCGACACTCTAACCGGTTGCTTTCGACCAGTTAACACCGAGACTCATGATTATAGAAGAGAAGGTAGAGAGAAGAATGTGTGAATGAATGAATAGAACTGAAGAGGAGCAGGGTATTTATAGTATTGAAGATACCCGCCCCTCCTCTCTTAGCCACTCAAAAGTCCGAAAATAAGGATGAAGTTATGGTGAATGCGTACACAATTATAGGAAGCCAAGTCCAACACCACAACTAATGTGTGGGCGGTAGGTTTCTTCTACAAAACTACCTCTGAAAGGGGCGAAAAACTCAAAATAAAACAAAGGCCGAGTAAAACCCACACCACGACGCACGAGCCGGGCGGGCGGCAGCGCGCGCGTGTGGGGTTCCCCTTTCCTTTTTTCTCCAATTGGGTTGGCTAATAAAAAGGGGGAAAAGTTCCCTTATGAAAGCAATGTGGGACAAGAGTGTCTCTTGGGTGTCTCTTCTACTCACATGTTCTCTACCACTTTGAATGTAAACTCCAACAAGAGAAGGTTGACGTCGTTGGTGAAGAGAGAAAGAGAGACGAGAGGAGGCTTTCGATCTGTACGCATCAAGGGAAGAGAGGTCGGAGAAGGCCGCCGTCGACGACCAACCATCACCAGAGCTGCTGCTGGTCGGAGACCCTGTTTTTTTTTTTTTTTTTTTTTTTTTCCTTTTGTTTTAAAATAAATTTTAATTTCTTTTTAAAATTGTTAACTAATTACATGTTGGTAACCTGCTATTGCAGGTCACTTGGGACAAATTGCATGATTTTACAATGTTGAATGGTCTAATTGCACTTTTTTTTAGTTGAGTGGCCCAACTGCATTTTCACGTTACGTTCGATGGCTAATTTGACTCTTATTCCTTATTTAATTCATGGTTTAAATTCAAACATAATCTCCATATTTAAGTGCTAACCTCTCATGTTACCTAACTTTCTTTCCTCGGAGTATGTTATTCAATTAGCTAGAAAGCAAAAATATACTAATAACATGTAGGCCAACTTGGGTCTTCAGAACTAAAAATTATAAATCTTTTCATTTTTATTTTGTTATATTTCCACTGAGTTTTTGTTTTATAAGGAAAAAAGTGCAAGTATTATATGAGCATACATATATAATTACCCAATTGGCTTTCAAGTGAAAAAAATTATTAAAGGGGAATAGAAGGTGGTTGTACTGATCTCCCACCAAGCATGACAACTATAGGACAATTGCTTTTTAGTAGAAGCAAGATATGCACTGTCTATATGCCCAATTGCTTCCTCTCCTAGAACACCTAAATCTTGCATCGGATCCTGCCTCTTATGACGAATTGAAGTGCCTATAACGTGGATTGTCTATCGCCCCATGACACACAAATATTTAATTTTCAGTACAATAAAACAAGTATGTCAATTTGATTAAAATGCTATAATTACGGGAATTCAAATTTATAACATCTTACATAAGGTTATTACTAATATCAAATTTTACAATGTATTCCTGATATGATTAATACAATGTATTCCTGATATGATTAATTCCCTGATGTACGATCCAGAATGAGTCCTTCCGGACTAACAATTAGTCAGGCGGGTTTTGGGTGTCGGGTGAACTATGACCGGTAACGGGAACAGTTTGGTCAGACAGGTCTCAGGTAGTTGAAAAGTGAAAAGTCATTCCCCCATTGGAGAGTTGGACGTTGGAGCAATAAACTCGCATTATATAGGTAGGTCTAGGGGCATATGCCGGGGTTTCGGCATGTTCTACACGTGGAAGATGCGGGTTCGCCAGTCATTCATTAATCCTGTATGTAAAATACTTATTGTGCATTCTTTAAATATATTAGAACTAATATAAATTTGCAATTCATTTCATTTTCTACACTCAGCCTGTTTGGATTAAAGGCAAAATCAGAAGCAATCTTGACAACAAAAATATATAATTGGTATATTGGATGCAGCCACTGTTTAAGAATGTTTATGCACAAAGTGACAAACTATTTAATTGCATGCATTGTGATTTTATACACACACACACACACACACACACACACACACACACACACACACACACACAAAATCAAGTACATACTACACTCATTCATATAAATTCCAAAAATATGAACTTCAAAATGAACATGTGCAAAATGGATGTGAAAATTGTTGATGAAGGGATATATTGCGGCATCAGTATCCAGAGTGCCTCCAAAGTCATTGTTGTTACTATCAAGTAAACAAGTTATGAAACTAAAACAAAATGTACTACTGAAATGGTCCTTTGACTATAGTGAAATTACGAATTTGGTCATTGACTATTTTTTTGATCAATTAAGTCCTCCAACTTTAAAAATGTTAACCAATTTGTTCATCCGTTTGTTTTGTCATTAGACATCCGTTAACTCGAGACCAAATTGATAAATTTTTTTATAGTCAAGGGACCATTTCGATCATCACATGTACTATTTTTTCCAAAATATTATTTACTGAAATGGTCCTTTAATTTTTTCCTTAATTGGTATATATAAATCTCAACATATCATTAAAAAAAAGTACGTAATTATAAACGCATTTTACATACAAGAGGATTATCTTTACGGATCTTTTTTTATTTTTTGGAATAAGAGTCAAATAGGCCATTGAACTGCACACGATAATGCAATTAGGCCACTGAACTTAAAAAACCAACAATTAGGTCCCTAAACTAATCAATTTCAAATAATTCTTTCAATTTGAAGGTTTCCAACATGTCAACAGGTCATCCTCCCAAATTAATTATTTTTAAAAAAAAATTAATTTAAAAAATTAATTATTTTTAAATTAAAAAAAAAAAAAAAAAAAAAAAAAAAACTGGACTCCGGCCGGAGTCTTTTTTTTTTTTTTTTAAAGTAAATAATTAATTTTTGAAATTTATTTTTTAAAAAATAATTAATTTTGAAGAATAACCTGTTAGAAACCTGCAAATTGAAAGAATTGTTTGAAATTTATTAGTTTAGGGACTCAATTGTTGAATTTTTTAGGTTCAGTGACCTAATTGAATGATCGTGTGCACTTTGATGACCTATTTGACCCTTATTCTTTTTCTTTTTATTTTTTTTTTAATCTCCAAACTGGCCAATTAAAGAAGAGTGCTGCTAACATGGGTTTGTCACAAATTTTAGAGAACAAGATATGAAACAATGAATAAAGCACATTTTCATATGTAAAGATATGATATGTTTGTTCAAAAAGCCAAATTGACTTTGCCAAAGCTAATCAATGTGCATGAAGGCTAGCCAAAATGTGCATTGGATTCACACAAGGCCCACACTTGAAAAAGAAACAAATAAAGGCAGGATTATATATATATATTTAATAATTAATAGTAGTAGTGGAGGAGGAAAGCTAATATATATATATATATATATATATATATATATATATATATATATATATATATATATTAGCTTTGTGAAATTCCTTTAAATAAATTATTTTATATATTCATAATAAATCATCACTCTTTGGTCTTCCTCTTTGTCAGAGTCCTCATCCAACCCTGTCCACTACTACGTCTCACCACCTTCACTCCCCCTTCCAGCTTGGCAGCCACGTGGCAGACAGCATTACTCTTGGTGGAGCTCCTCCTCAGCTTGATGACGTGGAAGATGTGGCCAATCCGCTTGCGCCACCTAAGAGAGCCACGTGGCTTTGCATGTTCAACCATTGCAGTAGCATTAGAGCTTCTCCTCCAAGGCATGTCACAATGATTTAAGGACACCATGGGGACTGTGCCCTCCTTCTCCCACGAGGCAGCACCATTATTCTCAAACTTGATTGATATAAAGGAGTCTACAAAAAAGCTAATTTTGGAATTAGATTCATCATCATTATATTTATTATATTCTTATTCTTATTATTCATAAAAAAAAAGTTATAGAGAAAATTAAATATATTGTTTTAATAGACTGATCGTCGACCTTTTATGAGTAAGTAAATTTCGATCTAGACTCGTTTTATATGTCTAATTAATTGTATTATCGAGGATTTTAAATTTGTTCTGTTTGGTAATATAGTTAGCTTATCAGTCAATTTTGACTTATTTAACTACTATTAGTGTTTGATTAATTAACTTTTGTAATAACTTATTGCTTTAAAATGCTAAAATTCAAAAAGTTGTTCAAAACAGCTTTTTCATGTAATTTTACATGTATAATCAGCTATCAGCTAATAGCTAATTTACCAAACTTTTTCTACAATCAGCTAATGGTATCAACTAGCAAAACTCATTAACTCAACCATCTAACAACTATTTATCAAACACCCCATTATGAAATATCAAAAGTACGGAACTTTATGGTTACTGGTCTATAACTTGTAATTAAAATGTCATAACTTTAACCTTCAAATCATTTAAAATGTATGAAAAAAAGTCACAAAATATCAAAAAGCTAGTGAAACAAAAAAAAAAAAAAAAAGTTTTTTTTTAGAATATAAAATTCACTTTATGCAAAAGATTAACGAATTAGTGGTAAAAAAAAAAAAAAAAAAAAAAGTTCTTTACGTACTACAATACCAAAATTTCCACACTTTATATCTTTCTCTGTCGTGCCAAGCTACCTAATAGCTTTGACTGTCGTCAAAAGACAAAAAGATGAAAAACAAAAAGTAAAAGGACACTGTAAAAAATACAATTTAACATGCATTTATGCATCTATCTTTTTTCTTTATAATAACTATATGCATCATCTCACATACTTTTTATGCATGCATCTTTTCCCATCTTTCTTCAGTGCCCCTTTTCCCATCTTTTTATCTATGCATCTGTTAGTTTTAGCTCCTAATATAAAAGGGAGAATACTTACACTTAAACATTATTGTTATTTATACTTTTTATTTTGTCTGAAAAATAGTAGAGAGTTATAACAACTCTAATGAAGTATAAAGTTTTTTTTTTTTTTTCCTGCAGTGTACTACCAAAAACAGTTATTCTTTAAAATTCATAAGAAAATATTTTATTTTACCTCTAATTGTCAACTCCAAATGTGACAATTATGAATTATCTATATGATTTTTAAAAAAAATTATAATAAAAGAAAATCTTTTTTTTTTTTTGAATGCAAAAGAAAATCTTTTTAGTTACTTGTAAATTACTGATCCGGCCGCCATGAGTTAATTAAATTACAAAATGTCATAAAATAGTCCATATATATATATATATATATATATATATATATATATATATATATATATATATATATATATATATATATATATTGAAATAAAATCAGCTCAGAGAATTAAATTAACGGGAAAAAGTGATGAATACAAGGAGGAACGATAGACCTCCAGATAATAGGATCAGATTGAGAGCCTCTAGCCCTAACTAGGAAATGGGCTAGCACATTCGCTGATCGACAAGAACGTAACTCATCATCAAATCATTTTTTTTAGTATGACTGCAACATTTGAAATTCTATTTGCTAAGTATAGAAATTCATTATATTCATGTGACATAAAAATTAGCCTTAGTCTATGCATGGTAATTAATTAATGAAAAATGCTTCCAGCCCCTACCATTACCACTAAACATTTTTGAACTTACAAGGAAATTGTGTAATGTTTTCTATAAAGACTAGGTTTCACCTAAACCAATTAAATTTATTTTAGTAAATTTGAATTGCTAATAGTTATATCATGGATTAGAATTTACATAGCAACATGAAATATATTAAATAACTCTAAATTCTTTTTTTTTTTGTACAAATAAAATTAATATATAAATGATATATAATTTAAAAACTTTAATTGATATATTTTAAATAACACCTATAAATATTGATTTTTTCTAATGAACCTACATGTCCATTAAATAACTATATATTACATGTTCATTAAAAATGACTACATGTTAGTTAAGTCATTACATTAGATTCATTAAACCATTATTACTTTATATAAGTTCATTAAATCACTACATACTACAAGCTCATTTAAGCCACTATTATAGGTCCATCGCACAATTATTGAATGAAATATTCTAAAAAAAAATAAAAATATTAACATATATGTTATTTAAAAAATTTCAATGAGAAAGGTTTAAGGATACATTTTTATACATTGATTTTATTTATACAAAAATAAATAGAGAATCATATGTTTAAATAATGATTAGTCACTTTGTGTCATTTTGATAAACATAACTACATGTTATTATGATGAACACACACTCATATCTAACTACTATTTGCATTTTTATTTAAGCTATTATTTTAATAAATCTAAGGTTGATAATGATGTCATGTGGATCTTGATTCACGATATAATTTGTCTTTTTGGACACTCTCGATCTTCAGTAACAAGCTAAGCCATCCTAATTCAAGACATTATTATAGATAAAATACACCATTTTCAACAAACTTCAACTTTAATTAATTAGTAAATAATGGTAAAATAAAATATATTCCTACTTTAATCATATCCAACATACAAACAAGCTAGAGAGAGAGGGGAAATTCAATCTCATTTTAAACTATCAAATAATACTTGTGTGTGAAAGCCATTAATTCCCCAAATTATTTTGTGAAAAAAAAAAATAATAATAATATGGAGAAGAAAGAACCTGCTTAAATTAAAGAAATATTAATTTAATTAAGCAGATTAGGATACCCATGTCTTTACTTTAAAACTTTAAATTTTTTTTTTTTTAAAAAAAAAAAGAAAAAAAAATCTAACCTTCACGGCTGCTGGTGGACGCGCCGCCGTCGTGATGGCAATCAGGGTCTGATCTCCGGCGGCGGAGCAAAGAGCTGAGAGTAAATATCTTTGGGAGATGGATTCTGGAAGGCTGATGGGGTTTTGTGGTCGTCGAGAAACCGTAATATGTTGCTGACGATGATGTTTTCCGGTGGGGATTCTTCTTATTATTGTTGTTGTTTGTGATTGTGTGGTAGAACTTAGCCGCCGGCGCCGCCTTTTCTTGCTTTGAAGCTAAGACTGTGAGCCTCTCATTCAAGCACAAAGCACAAACCCCAACCACAACCTCTTTGGGATGCAAATAACAGCATGACTCATTCATGTTGGAGCAGTGTAAAAACAGATAGAGAAAAGAAAAGAATAAAATGTATAGTGAGAGAGAGGAAACTGTACTGTGTTTAATTTGTCTGTGATGGTTTTATATATATAGATTTTATATATGGTGTGACTTCACTTGTTTGTATACACACCTACTTGAGTAGCAACCGTGCACCATATCAACATAAATGTCTAATTAAATTATTGCTAGTATAGGTTATATAGTAATTATTGTATAAATAGTACGTAATAATACAATATGGAGTAATTTTCATCTGAAAAAGAAAAACTATATATATTTAGATGTATTACCACATAAATTAGGGATGACAATGGGTGTACAGTGAGTACACGTGTGCTAGTTACATCTATCACCCGACCTATCTTATATTTTTTCCACCCACTCTCAAATTGTATCCGGTGAACTTTTTCAAAACCCACCTTCACCCTCACCAAGTGCAAGTGCCCAATACGGGATACCCACCACTTATTATCTTATTAAAAAGTTTAAAAATAATATTTAAATAATTTACACATAATAAAAAAAAATTCACTAGTTATATTAAAACATAAAATATAAAAATATTAATATATAATAACTAATTAAATTATTAATTTTTTAAAATTAATTTATGTGTGTGTGCGCGTGTGCGTGTGTGTATGTGTGTGTGTGTTATAGGCAAGTTTTATACATAAAACACATATCCAACCCGACTCATTGCGAGTTTAATTTTTGGGATAAAGTACAAATAAGCTACTAAACTATTTGAGAAACAGCAATTAAGTCACCGAACTCAAATAACCACAAACCAAATAAACTATTGAACCCGGCAAAAAAGAACAATTAATATTTTTAACAGGTTAACTCCAAGTTTTTGCTTATAGAATTGACAAACGTTTATTTTATTTACGTTTTTTTTTTTACTATAATCCACCTACATAGTAATATATTTTAAAATAATTATAGTAAAAATAGTTTTGTCTTGTCTAAATCTAATTTATTTATTTATTATTATTTTAAAAACAGAAGATCCAATAAAAAAAATAATAAATAAATAAATAAATCAAATCTCAACAAGACAAAATTATTTTGATTATAATTACTTTAAAATATATTACTATGTAGGATTATAATAAAAAATGTAAATAAAATAAACATTTGGCAATTCAATAAGCAAAAACTTGGAGTTAACATATTGAAAATGTTAATTGCTCTTTTTTTCCAGGTTCAATGGCTTATTTGCTCTTTTTTTCCGGGTTCAATGACTTATTTGCTCTTTTTTTCCGGGTTCAATGGCTTATTTAATTTGCTCATTTTTTCCGGGTTCAATGATTTATTTGAGGGTTATTTGAGTTCGATGACTTAATTTCTATTTTCCAAACAGTTCAATGGTTTATTTGTACTTTATCCCTTAATTTTTTTTAAGACTCATCACCCACTATCATCTAAAAAACACTCAATCCATGCAAGGTAGATTTGGGTGGATATCCGTGGGCAACTTATGCTATGAAACTGTGTCCACCTTGCAAGGTGGACACGGTTTCAAAACTATCATAATTGTGAATATAGAGTTCAATAGTTGTGAATATGAAGTTAAAAAATTATGAACATAGAGTTTTATAATTATGAATATAGATTTCAGTAATTATGAACATAAAGTTCTGTAATTGTGAATATAGAGTTCAATAATTGTGAATATAAAGTTCAAAAATTTTGAACATAGAATTTTATAATTATGAATATAAAGTTCAGTAATTATGAACATAGAACTGTGTCCACCTAACAAGGTAGATACAGTTCCACAGCATAACAATTGATATATATTCGTAGGACGGTTTGAAATTCCTTAACCTAAACACAATTATACCATAAGGACAAATAAAATGTCAATGTATTACATACCACGCGTCCACACCCTCTAGTGGCTGCTAGTTTTTTTTTCTTATTAGTCAAAAAAATGTCAAAATATTACCACATAAAGTTTAGGATACAAGGTTCAAATATATTTGTTTACTTTTCTTAGTAGTGCAATTGAGTATCTTAACTAAAAGAAAATGCAATTAAGTTTTTGAGCTTCTAATTTCAAGCAATAATTAATTGAGTTTTAAAATGATAATAATCTATTTAAATATGCTTGCAACTAAATATTCTTTTGTCAAAATAAAAAAAAAATGTAAATGTCAATTTAGTATGTCTAAACAAACCATTATCATTCTGTCAAGCCTAATTGTATGAAAATAGGAATTCATATTCTTAATTGCACACATTCAAAAAAAATATTCTTAATTGCACCAAATTAAAATTTTAAAATCCGACCTAATAGTACTATTTTAAGTTGAAGTACCTAATTAGCTCTTCTTGTATATTAAATAGAGGAAATAAAATTAAGCAAAATATTTATTTAAAAAAAAAAAAACTGATATATAAAAGCAGTAGTAGTGGTAGTAGTAGAGAAGACTTAGTTATTAGGGTTGGTCCACCATGGAATAGACCAAAGATGTAAAGTTTACTTAAATTTTGACAAGAAGCCATCCAAAGAGACATTTGTACGATATGGACCAGTTCCAGCTCACACATTTTGAATGCTGGCTAGTCCTCTTATGTTTGGTCCGCTTGGACCTTGTCTTCGAGAATATCAATATTCTTCTTCTACTAGAGAAGTAAAATTATATTAATTCTCAGAGGAAATGGTAAGACTAATGTGATGTGGCCGGTTCAAGTTCAAAAACTATAAAATAAATGTCCACTATAATACTTATTTTTTATTTGATAATATTCAAGTCCAACATAAAATATTTAAAATATCATGGGGTGAGTTTGATTAGCTTATATTTCTTCTATTATTGTGAAGCATTGAGGAGTCAAGTGAAAAGAAAAGTCCAAGGAGAAGAATTCAAGAGTTTTTTTTTTTTTTTTTTTTTTTTTTTAGTTTTCTAATTTGGTTATATATTGATCCCATATTTTTATTATGTTTCTTTTTCTGTCAAATTATACTATGGATCATAGTTGACATTATAATGTGGATCACGGATAAATGTTTTCTCTCTCTCTTTTGAAAGAAAAGGAAAATATCATTACTGAACTAATTAAATCAGACCTTAAGAGGTTTTTACAAAGGAGGGGGGGGGGGGGGGGGAGAAGAAAATCACAAAACCCGACCAAACAAAGAAACGGTTTCCCTAGTTAAAGCATGGGCAACACGATTCGCAGATCGTTGAACAAAAAAGAAAACTCAAATGATTAGAAGCATTAGAGTTTCTTTGATATCATTGACAATAAAACTAGAATGGTGAGGATCAATATATAGCTTTGATCTCTTGGATGATCGTGAGGGCATCAATTTCAAATTGAATATGATCCCAGCTTTGATCTTTACATACCGGTTGGCAGTGTAACCAAGGTCTAAAATAGTGTTACGAAACTTTTCATACCACTACTTAAGAGCCTGAAATACCACTACTTAAGAGTCTGTTTAAGACCATATAGAGATTTTTTGAGTTTACATACCTTACCTTCCTGGCCAGGCTCAACACATCTAGGAGGTTGTTCAATGTAGATTTCTTCTTCCAAATCACCATTGAGGAGTGTTTTCATGTCAATTTTGTGGACTATCAACCTGTGTAAGAATGTTAAAGCAAATAGAACACGGATGGTTGCAATTTAGGTTACTGGTGAATATGTATAGAAGTAATCTTCACCAAATCTCTGTGTATAGCCTTTAGCTACAAGCTAGCCTTGAATCTTTCGATAGATCGATCTTGGCCTTAATTTTCTTTTGAAAATCTATTTATAACCAATTGGTTTACATCAATTAGGAAGACTTACCAATTCCCAAAGTGTGGTTTGACTTAATAGAGTCCAACTCACTTTTAATGGCTTCTTTCCACAGGGTACAATCAACAAAGTGCATAGCATCCTCAAAGGTTTTTGGTTCTTATTCTAACACTAATTGACATACAAATTGATCACATATTTCATTTATATCTTTCAATTTAGATACAAACGTTATAAAATCATAACCAAAGTTTTTCTCAATTCTAGGCCTTTTACTTCTTCTAGGTTCATCAGAATCATTTGTAACACTAGCCGAAGGAAACAAGGCATGTTCATTCCTTTGAGAATTACCAACAGATAAGAAATGAGCATTTTTAAGGGAAATATATGTTCAAAGAAAATAACATCTCTAGATTCACATATTGAACGATTTTCTAAGCACATGAATCTATATGCAGCACTATTTTCAGTATATCCAACAAATATGGCATCTAAGGTTTTTGGTCCCAAATTGGGCCTTTTGAAGAACGGAAGTCCCACTTTGGCCAAGCACCCCCACACTTTAAAGTATTTAAGGTTAGGGGCATGCCCTTTCCACAATTCATAGGGGGCTTTATCAAACCTTTTATGGGATACTCTATTCAATATGTGATTTGCTATTCAGACAGCTCCCCCCCCCCCCCCCCCCCCCCCCCACAATGAGTTTGGAGCACCTGAACTAATAAACATGACATTAATCATCTCTTCGAGAGCTCTATTTTTCCTCTCAGCTATGTCATTTTGTTAGGGAGTATAGCGATTCGTTGACTCACGAATACTACCAGAACTTTCACACAGGCTTTTGAGAATATTTGTTTCATATTCTCATCCCCAATCAGAACGAAGCCTTTTGATCTTTTTATCTAATTGATTTCCACATCTGACTTAAAGATCAAGAATTTTTGTTCAGCTTCGTCTTTTGTTCTCAATAAATAAACTTTTGTAAAACGGGAAAAAATCATCAATGAATGTAACGTAATAACGTTTTTCACTTTTGCTTTCAATGCTTTTGAAATAAGCTAAATCAGTGTGAATAAGATCTAGGACATATGTAGTGCGATTGTTTACAATAGAAAATAATTTTCTCGCAAATTTAGATTCAACACATATTTCACACTGAGAATACGAGTCATTTGTCAAATTTGGCAATAAACTCATATTTTTGAATCTGTTTAAACAATTCAAGCCAACATGTCCTAGTCTACCAAGCCAAACATTAACAAAGATAGCAATGTAAGCAGAAAAACCATTATTATTTTTATTAGGGTCA